GGGGGTCATCCAGACACCTTGGCGCAGGCAGCGTGTGTCTCCACGCATGGGACGCGCTCGAAGACTGGTCTGTGCCCAGCGCCCCGCAGCACTGCCCCAGCCTCTCAGCGGTCCGAAGCCAGCTTCGAGGGGCTGGAGTCCTCCCCCTTCCTCCTGCGATCAGCCAGCCCTGGGGAACGGGTGTTAATGGGCTTCGTGAGCCCTGCGTCCGCAGAAACCCAAGGGCTGACTCCAAAACGCTCACCTTTGCTGGCTGTACAAACCCGTGGCTAGGACTTACCGCAAGGCTCAGGTGAACGAGTAGCTCCTACCTCGCCTGGAGCTATCCCCAGCTGCCTGCAGACTCAGGAACACAACAGTGCTCGAGGCTACACTCGGACAGTCCATCCTACAACCGTACAGGCTACCGCATTTTCACTGAGGCAGCTGCCAGGCTGAATGCTGGCCCAAAGAGCAACAACGAAGGTAGATGAGCCCCCGCTCCAAGGCCCGCACCCCTTCTTAAGGCAGGCAGAAACACCAGCACACACCGGCTGGCTCACCCAAGGGAGAAGCTGGATCAGCGACCCTACAGTACAGGCGTCAGCAGGGAAGGGATCAGTCACCAGTGGGAAAGGGCAGTGCACGTAGCCATGCCCTCACAAGCTTGAGGAGGACAAGCTTGTCCTTGACAAGCTTGGTTGCTGCACCACAGGTGGCATCTCAGGTCACCAGTACGAGCACACGAGAGTTTTGGGTGCTGTAACGGCTCCCCAGAAAGACCCGGGCCCTTTGCAGGGCCCTGCTCCGTCTGTCCTGCAAAACCGACCAGCAGTGCTGTAGCCTCTCGCATCCCAACAAAGGGCTCTTCCAGAAAGTGCCATTTCCAGTGGATCTCTCGTCTATAAATCCTGTGGTTTGGCTACCAGAGGACAGATCAAGAGGAAATGCACAATTCAGTGGGTAAATCATAGTTAAATCAACAGGGAAAGGGACCAAGCAGATTTGGGGCTATTTAGTTAGCAATGGTGGCATTAGGAGGCTGTTGGTTTAGGCACAGACCAATATGTACCCAACACTTTTGAAGCCCCATTTCTAGGCTGCTTTGGCAAGTGGAGATACGCCATACAGAAGAACTACACTCCAGTTATGACCTTCCTCGCTGTGTCAACACGACCGGAGCCAGCACCAACATGGGAGCCATTCCTGCCTGGCGAGGAGGAGACGCAATGGGAGGAGGTCATCGTTGCATTTCCCGAGAATGTTTTTCTCTCCCAAGCCAAAATAGCTGGGTGCAGCCTTCACGCCTGCCCACGTGGTAAGGTGCTAGCTCAGACAAACAACAACAGACACAGACACCATCCAGGGAGGTGACAGGACCTGCACAGGGTCTTCCCAACACACCGGTCTCAAAGCGTTGAGGAGCGCTACTTCTTCAAACCGCGACGCGACAGCTCCAGACCCACCGGTCACAGAGCGTCTCTCCTGCTCCTGGTGCAGCTAATTCCCCAAAAAGTTATTGCAGCTCTTTAAACCAGGGCACAGAGCTTATTTTTAATAGCCAAGGCAAGAGGAAACAGTTTGTTTACAATCTCAGTGATTTTTCAGACCTGGACAGAGTCCTGGATGGCTTCTGGATGCGTATTTGGTTAATTTCTCTCATCGGATTAAAACATGCTTTCAAGCTCACTCTCAGAGAAAGAGCAGAGTGTGCGAAACATGGGGTTTCTGTCCCAAGTTCTTGTGGTTTTTCCTTCACAGCGCTTCAGCGGCTAAGGAAAACACATCTCCTTTCAGCTTCTTCTAGCGCCTTGCTAACTGCAGTCGTCGGTTCAGAATAAGCAGCAAAGCCACGCGCGTGCACGAACGATAAAGCAAGAGAGTACCGCTGAACGATATCAAGCGGGATCTACTCAGCCAAGGCTTACTGACAGGGTCCCCTCCTCACTTCCGGCACATCAAGGCTACCAGGACGGGCGCTGCCAGGTGCGCAAGAAGGGACGCCAAGCGCCGAGCGAGCACCAGCCCCGGAGGAGGCTGCCAGCCAGCAGCTCTCCAGAGCAAACTGCTGCAGCCTGGGAGGGTGTCTGCTTTTAACTAGCAGTGTTCTTTCCAGAAGACTTGCCTTTGATTTTCCCTCCTAAACTAACAGCTCACGTCCTCACATGCCCCCAATTCCCATTCTTCTGGGAAAAAAAAAAAGCGCCCAACCATCCACCCAACTATCCTCACATATCCAGCTGGTTTCTTTAAAAATCAGGGAAGTCGTGCCTGCTCCCCCGATCCAGGCCCTCTTCAACACCACGGCAGTCTCCGAGTTAACTCTGGCTCAGGAGCGCAGACCTCTACAGCAACAGTATTAAATGCTGCACTCCCGTTTCAGACCTTTGGTAAAAGCCAGAAAGGCGAATTGGAAGAACTGAGTTTGTGTTAGGTGCCAAAATGCAACAAGCAACACTATCAGTAGGAGGTGCCCCTACCCAGGGCCCCAAGAGCCTGTTCTGGTTGCCCCTCTGGTACCCCAGCAGCACAGGCTGGCAGGTGCAGGCTCAGCACCCCGATACCAGACACTCGGCCCCCAGCTCTACTGCCGACCCTCTGCGTAACCATCAAGATTCGCTCTCCTTCCTTGGGCTCAGTTTGCCTGTGCATAAAGCAGAAGTCAATCAGACCAAGAAAAGTGAAGGCTGTGATGATCCAAAAGAGAAAAAGCACCATAAAGCACAGGCCTTTCTACCCGCGTAGTTACTACCCTCCTTACTGTGACAAGCTGCAGCTTCTGTACTACGGCCAACACCTCTGAGTTGTGTCTCCTCCAAGACAGCAGTCCTTCACCGGGAAAGGGCAAGAAATAAAAAAACTACCAAGAAATACATCCAAAACTTATCATCTATGATAAGATGCTTATTTTTAGGTTACAGAGACATGCACTGGCCGTGCTGGCATTGCTAAGAGCGTCCAGTCTCGGGGAACATCCACCTCGTGTCCTCGCGGGGTTTGTTTTCCCTGGAGCAACGCCAGGGCTGCGCATGGTCACCGAGAGAAGGCTGTGGGGCTGCTCTGCCACACGCAGGTAACCCCACCGCCACCGAGGCTTCATGCGTGCAGTTCGGTGTGCTCCGACAGGTGAGAGGATTGACCTTGTAGTGCAGCGAGTCTGCAGACTGGCTCGCTTCCAGAGTTATCCCATCCCAACAGCGGAGCACAGATATAGGGCAACCGCCACTTCAGCGACTGCCAGTAAAGCACGCTTGGTAAAAAATACCCTTTGGGAGCGCTGAAGAACGAGACATGGAACAATTACTATTAATATATATTTTTTTTCACACGGCATAGATGGAACCTGGAAAAACCTGGACTGAAAGTACTCTAGCGCTTCGCAACAGGCTGCATGGGGGATGGCACTCTCCCTTCCCATCTGTTGGCATTACAAACCACCTTATTTTAGGGAAATCCCCTGTACTGTGTACACTCTCACCCTCTACAGCACAGGTTAGTTACAGCTGAGGCCAAAAGAAGAAAAAAAGGGTGCAGGGGAGAAAACATCTACACTACAAAAACAAACAAACAAAAAAAGTTTTCTGAATGACGTGGGCATGTGCCATGACTTCAGCTACATGAACTGCAGCAAGATGCAAAAGGGACGGTGCTGAAGGCAAGTTGATGAAACTGCAACTTCCCTGCTCAGTGAGAAGGAGGTGGGGTCAGCCATCCGCAGGGAGATGGTAGCCCACACCTCATACTCAGGGGCTACAAGACAAGACTGGATGATCTCCACAGGTGACACCTCTTGAGGAAGCTGATCAAGCCTGAAGGACCCTTCAAGATACCCCAGACAACCAGACCTTCCCCGTGGGCAGTCAACAAGACCTCAAAGTAGAGAGATGTGGCCATCTCACATCTGTTCACTGCTGGAGATGAGTCACCATGACCAATTCTCTTCCTCACGCAAGCTGGTTTCAGCACCTCATCATCCTCACAGCCTATCAACAGGAGGTAACTATGCTCTCTTCCTCCACTGGGTGACCAGTTGATGCTTACAGAGCCTCAACAGGAGGCCTCACGTGCCAGGGGAGGAGGCAAGGGCTGACAGTGTAATCTGGGCATCGCACACTGTTTCTTCAGTCACAACCATTTACAGGTTACCTTGACACCCCAAAATTCACAATCTTCTCAAAACTCGAGGACTTTTATTCCTAACTACAGAATTTTGCAGCTCTTACACCCAATATAAAAGCATGCAGGGGCACGGGGTGGTTTGCAAAAGCTATCTTCTAGTTTCTGAAGCAAACTCTCCACCTCCACCCCAAAAACCTTAGCCAGGAGATGATACCAGCGTCAGTAATTTATAAGGAGTCTCAGCGGCAAGCAAGTTTGAGTAAAGGTCTACTAAGACTCGTTCCAAGTCTGGACAGACCTCATTGAACAACCTCATCTTTTTAAGAAAGAAATTGGCCTGACTTTTGCCTGATTTACTATTTCTCTCATTCTAGTACTTCAACTATAAAACTTCCTAATAACTTGCCTATTGATGGGAACAAAGATGCATCAGTCACTACAGAAAGATGTCCTTGGACAAGGTCTTCTGTCACCTAACAGGACTTTTTTTTCCTGATACACATCATCAGGAGAAATGCTACTGGAGTATAACGTGCTTCCACAGTAGCTCAAAACAAAGACATCCACAAGCCCCCATCAGACACTGGATACAAAATACATACTGGATTCAGAAGTTCAGGCCTTGCAAAGGTTTTTTTTACTAACTTCCACTTCGCTTTGAGCTCTGAATCCATTATGTGAATTGAAACTGGTTTTGCTCACAGAACCAAATCAACTCTTCACAGTCCTGCTGTGCTGCAGGGCTAACAGCCACTTCCGTTTGGAAGAAAACGGAAGCATCTTTGACAGATGCTTTGACAAACAGATCTTTGACAAACATGATATTGGAATGAGCTCAGTAACTTGGAGAAATTCATTTTTCCCATGGTCACACAGTCCATCCTGGAAATGGAACGGGCTGGGCAAGAAGCCTGGAACAAGGTGGAACAACCCAGTGGCACCCCAAGAGTGCTCTGATGGCATGCACAGATGGTTTGCTCCCAGCAAGATCCTTCGTGGCTTGCTAAACTCCTAGGCAGTTAACGAAGGCCTTGGGTACTACGCGACTGAGTCACTCTTGTGACAAAATTAAATCTAAGAAGAAAAGGAAGAGTCACCGAGGACCTTCAGGTCTGCACGACTGCCACCACCTGCACCCTGGTCTGAAACAGACTCCACTTGGCTTCTTTGGAGGCCTCTGTGACGGAAAGGAAGAGGTGCTGACACCGAAGGACAGGGGTTGGGTGAACTCCGCGGCCAGCAACGGGCTGTCCAGCCCCAGGTAGCCACGCCGGGCATGGGGCCAGTGCAGGGATGAAAGGAGGCCTTCATAGGGAGCACAAAGGGCAGCCTGTGATGCTGCGAGGGCTGGAAGCATGAGCATGGAGCGGTCCGGAGCACTGCAGGGCTGATGAATGTTAAATAAACTTGTTTACAGAAAGGCAGGGCTGCGTGTATACGTATAGAGACGAGAAGGCTGTCTGTACGTCCTTCCCTTCTTTGTCGGCGCAAGGCAGGAAATTTCCTTTTCTAATGGGGTGAAACGCAGAAAAAGTTCCACTCTGCACTAAAAGCACCTGGATCGGGGATAGGTAACTCTTCACTCCACGGCAGCAGAAAATTGTTCTGCTCCTGGGATGGCTTACAACACACACTGGTTCCCTGATGTCCTACTTTGAGGCAGCAGAGAAGAACAAACTTAAGAGGGCCTCAGGCCTCTAAAAGGCAACTGAGGGAAAGCAGCCTCTCTCCCACGCCCAGGATCCCGTGCCAAACATTGCATCTGGCAGTACCAAGCTCTGCGTGAGCCGCTGGCCCTGCTACGCCAGTGCAAATCACCCACTCCCCCGCCATACAGAGTCGGCGACAGTTCGGTACAAACCACAGTTGCAAAGCCCAGCCAGACAGCGAGCACACAGCAGCGTTGGCAAGACAGGGGTCTGAGAGCAAGGACGTGCCCAACATTGGAAATTTAAGATAATCCGAGTGAAGTTTCAGCTCTGAGAGGAAGCAGACCAAGGCTTCACTAGAAGTGAATCAATCTCTGCACAGGGAAGTAGAGTGCAACAGTTGAGAAGAAAACCTTACCTGGTTTCGGGGAAGAGCGCTGCCAGGGGCTCTGTGAGTGTAAGTTGCAAACTGAAATTGTGTCCTTAAATGATTAACACCCCATTACACAAAAATCAAAGCCCAGTGTCTGAGAAGGAAAACACCCACTTACAAGCGCTCATTTCTGAGTTACTTTAAAGGTTCCCCAGCAAGAATACGTCTTAAAAGGGGAATGTGGGAGGGAGCTACCAGCTACAGTAATTCCGTGCTTGTGCCTGCAGATGTTCCTGCTAGGTGCAGCAATGAATTCCCCTACTTGTGTGAAAACTCCTTCAAAAAAGAAATCATTTCATCTGCGAGACTGCTGGCCAGGATCTTCCTGCTAGGCGAGGTGCTAAGAACAAACTGCAAGGGAACTGTGATCCAGCCTCGCTCTGGGTCCTGGAAGCCAGGGCAAGAATTTAAGGAAAACAAGGGCTGTGCTCTTGTCTGGTATCTTGGCCTGAGCCATCCTTTCATGCCTTACTCACATTTAAAGAGAGAGGCTTTGCAGGAAGCTAGCTCCCCGTAACAGTTTTCATCCCCTATGCTCAAAGCCTATCCGAGGAGCCAGACTGGAAGTCAGTTTTCCCTCACCTGTAAAACCCACGTCACACCAGACAGCTTTTGTGGCCAGCTGGGCCCTCGGTTCCCCTCTAGCCAACATAACTGCACTAAGGCACGAGCGGAGAAGGCTGAAATCGCTAACAACCATCTTAAAAACGGTGCCTAGCAGAACAGGCGTCTCACGCCCATCACTCCCCTCTCGCACCCTCTTTGCTCCGGCTGCGAGTAAATCACAGAGCTCGAGGCCGAACGGAGCACCTTTCCCGGGCTGCTCCTGGCTGCTGAGCTCCTTGCGACACCTATTTCTAGACGGACACTCAAACAATTTAAATGCACAATTCAGCTTTTGACTGAGCTAAATGTTTTCACAGACACTTCCATATTTCTTTCTCAAAATCCGTTTCTATTTACCATAGCTGCAGTGTTTTGCTGCCACAAAAAGTATAGGAGGAAACAAACTGGCCCACGTGCCTTACCCAGAGAAAGCGTTTCAACTCTTTTCAGGATTATAACTTATCCTACAATGAAAAGCAGGCAGGGAATTTGGCCCATCAACTGCAGGGAGCGCTCCACGTTGTGATCTCCTGTCACTAATGCTCCCAGAGGTGCTATTGCTGTTCAGTTCAAGAAAAAAAAACAAAACAAAACTGCAAAGGACTCATAACATTTTCTTAACAGAAACATGGTCTCAGGATGGGAATATATTCTTACTCAATGCTAGCCACTGACTCCAAAGCTAATTTACACTATTCAATTCAGCTCAATAAATACTTAAGAACATTTGTAGGGGAGGGAGAGGAGGATGGAGGTACGCAAGGGGAGGAGAAGGAGGCAGAAGAGTGAAAGATCTCCTGCTCTTTTGGACTTTAACTGCAAAGATCCTTACCTGCTAGCACAGCAGGGACCAGGATGCTGCACAGCGTCAGCAGGACCAGGCGAAGGACTCTGCGGTAGGGCATGGCTTTCTGCAGGAAAGGGGTCGGCAGGAATTCTTAAAACTCTTCAGAGTATTAAATGACTTGGAAATTGCGCTAGTATAATAAAAACTGTGTCCAGTCAGGTCAAAAAAGAAAAAAAAAAAAAAAAGAAAATCCCTTCGCAACAGCAAGTAGATAAAGAGAGTGCAAAGCCCAGCAGAGACTCTCTCGCCGACTCCTAGAGCACACCTCCTCCTGGAGCCAGCTCCACCCTCCACAGCTTGTGCCTAAAAACCCATACGCAGCTGAGCCGTTAGGCACCAGTCACCCTGCCAGGCCAGCACACACACTAGCAGTTGTTGGCTAGCCCTTCCCAAAGGACTTGGGGATGCATTTGAAATTCCTTCCCTTAGGACGGTTGTCCCATGGCACACGCAAAACAACACAAGGCTCATTAGAGAAGCTAACCCAGAAACCAAGCACGCAGCTCGAGGGCTTTGCTGTCTCCTCTGCGTGTGGGGCAGTGGTGGGCTTTCCAGGGTGGGCACAGCGAAAGAACAAGGGCCTCAATCTTTAAGGTTAAAATGCTCTGAAACGGAGCCAGAGCAGTTCCGTGGCATCCTTGTTTTCTGGGTGTAATACTCACAGCGCAGGACTAAGAGTCCTGTGTGGTCTCCTTTGGCAGAATCGCCTATTAAAACCTGGCAATAGTCTTCCAGGAGAGTCTCCTCCGCAGACACAAGACCAGCAGCTTCCTCAGATTTGAACTGAACAGATACTTTTTCTTCCTGCAAGCCTCGGCCGTTCTGTTTCTCTCCTCCACATGGGCTAATGAAGAGTTAACAGCAGAGAAAACTGAAGTTTGTTTTAAATCACGCTGCCACTGACAAGAGTCTTGGGAAAGGATGAAGTATATAGGGGGAACAATCCAGTTTATCACAGGACAGAAGACTTAGGGTTTTTAAGTTGGTACGAGGGTAAAATACTTTGTTTTCTGTTCAGAAAAAGATGTTGCAATTAAAGTACGTAAACGCGTCCCACGCCAGTTCTTTATGCTCTGAAAACATGGCACAAATAGCTTTGTCTTAATTTCAGATTCACAGTTTTCTGGTAAAAGATCTGATTTTTGGCTTTCTCCAACAGCCAGCCAGATACAGTTCAGGTGTCCTTTTGAAGCCTTCTGCTTAGCTGAATCTTTTACAAAAGCACATGGCTGTGAGGGGAAACTGGAAAAACAAGGAGGACAGGACGCGCTGTCACTGCTGCGAAATGAAGTTAGGAAGCGCCCTGGTGAAATGCGCGCGCAAGAAACCTCGGAGATCTCTAGCAGATCCAGCATTATCTTTGAAACCTTGACCACAGCCATATTAGCTTCCCAGGTTCACGTCCTGTCTGAAAAGCAGATGGAAGACTAGCATAAATACCTACGGGCTGCAGATGCAAGTCTGTAGCTTCTATCTTTCCCATCCCTATTGATCCAAACGACCTTCACTGTTCTTGAAATCGGCCCTCTTTTGCCATAGAGGAGGTGACAGGGCAGTCACCTGAGCATACGATCTGGAAATGCCAGCGTATTACCTTTGCACTAAAAGCAAAGTTGGAATATTAAAACATTTAAGAACAAGATCTTCCCCACTGGTCCCATTATCTACAACTCTCAGAAGCCAGGCAGGCTTCCTTGGGTTCAACAAATTATTGCACATTTTCCCCACCTGTGTTTTTACCTTTTCATTTAGCAAGTGCTAAATTGTTCCTTTTGTCCTCCCCAGCCGAGCTGGAAATTAGCATGCTTTTGCTCACTTGTTACACAGTAAAGAGTATTCCAAATTTAGGCTGTAGAAATTAGATCATACCATTTAAAAAAAAAAAAAAACAACAGAAAGCACACATAAGATATCTTATACCCTAACCAATTAAGATACTAAACCAGTCAATTTTTCAACCTGAGCACATACTGTTCTCTCCAAGACAGCAGCAGCTAAATATAATGCAAAACTACTGCATAAGTTAGTTATTTACTGACTCAGTATTTGTGGACACGTGAATGGTAGAAGGACATTTATAAACCTTTACTGGGATTTTCCACACAAAAAAACAAGCAGCAAATAGAAAAAAGGATAATAGGATTTTGTCTGGAAAGGGAAGCCTACAAGGTGTCTGTGGACATTACAGTAGAGGGGAGAGATAAACCTCTCATTTAGGGAAGGGAATGGGAGAGGGTGGGGTGGTTACACTGACTACTGGTTACTTACTACCGGCTGAGTGTGTTTTTAATAACAGAAAACCAGCCACGGCTTGATCTCTCCTGTATAAACAGCATGAGTGTGAATGCACATGTTTCTATACACAGAGAGGGGGGAAGAAATCAAAGCTTTCTTGTCCAAATTTTCCAATCTCAACTTACTGGTGTTTATTTGAACTCTAAAATTATCAAGTAGAAAAAAAAAAACCCACCGGTATTCCTCACCAGGGAAGAAATAAAGCAGCAGTTGTTGTTCCACATCCTGTGTATTTGCTTGTTGTTTCTTGATGAAAACTGACGAGAGTCGAGTTTGGGGTCAGTTTTAGCACCAGGAATTATCTCAAAAACTCAGCTTTGACAAAAGCAAGCAGAAAGTTTGCTCTCAGATATAATACAACCAGGTTTTATTTAAGTTCTCTCTTTTTCCCCCCCCACACTGGCAAAAGTTCAGAGGGAGTTTAAAGTTTTGTAAACATTTTAACTACCCTTCTTCCCCCTTTTATGAATTTACAAAGCAAAGGAGACAGGGAGACCAGATTTCCAACAGTTCCAAGTCTCTCCATGCTATTGGATCCAAAAACTATATACAAGTCTGCAGCAGTCTCTGTATAGTTACTGTACATGTTTGGGGGCAGGGGGAAGAGAGAGGAGGAGGAGGAGGAAGAGGGGAAGGTGACCCCAAAAAAATAACGAATAAACCAAACGAAATAAAATCCAAAGCCAAACTGCTCTTTAGCAACTCGAACTGTTTTCCTTAGGCAGTGATGACAGAGAAAGACACCTTCATACACCTCCACCAAAACTGTAGCTTATCTCCCTTGGCAGGTTATAACCCTCTGGGAATGGGAGATGGGACCAGGGGGTTGAAAGTAAGTGCATTTGGCAGTTTTAGTTTTCATTTTGTGGTGTGTGGGGGTGGGTGGAGAGGGGAGGTCGGTGTTAAATCTTTTGGTGAGAGAGGAAAGTTATGACTCCATAAATACTTAAACATTACGGATCCAAGTGAAGGTGTGTGAAGTAATTTAAGGTGTCGAAGATAAGCAGGGCTGTCATTGCACATTGCTCTGCCCTCCACAGTCTCTTTTCATTAAAAAGGGCACCTCTGCCCTTTAACCTAAGCTCGGTTGTTTGAAATGACAACTAGCTGAGACTGCTCGGGTATATATCTGAAAGCCCGTGTTCACCCTCACCAAAGACTAAAGATCCACATGGAAAGATCCTACTGTCTCTTAAACGAGACAAATTTGCAGGAAGAAGAGCTCAAAATAAACTGGTCCTAACCCTCAGAAGGTAGCATTGAAGGGATAAATTCAACCTGAAAGAGAAGAAATGCCACCCCCCTTTTCCCCGAGTAGAAGTCCCCACTTCTCCAGGAAGGCTGGAGTATGCTGATAGGGACCTCTACCAGCTTCAGCATCACCACCTAATGAAGACAGACTCGAGCTTTCCCTCCAAAAATAATGTGCTGAGAAGGGCTGGCAGGGGGGTGTGCAACTTCAAACCAACCCAAGCTAAACTGCGCCCGCCACCACCCCTCTCCTGCTGTTGCCAGTTCTAAGGTTAGCTTATGAATGCAACTCCTGGCTTGGGAGAGCACCTCTTGCCCTGATGGAGCGCGGAAGTCAGTATCTGTGTGGCATTTTGGTTTTGACCAACATCTGTTAACCACAAACTCTCTCTCTCTCTCTCCCTCTCTCTCTCTCCGTGACTGCACATGTTGGATATGGTAAGAGTAACCAGAAGAGGGAAGCAACTGTTTGCAGAATCCCAATTGAATTTTTTCCAGGTATGTCAGCAGAAGAAATCACAGCACAGTGAAAGCTTGCTGCCCAAATCAGCCTTGTTGTGAACGAATCCTATCTCCCACCCGCCCAGGACTTGGAACAAAGTCCACGCGTCTATAGGCTGATGGTAAGAACAACGCCTGTGCAGTCCTGGGCAGAAAAGGGGTTGCCGGGGCTAGAGGAAGCAGCCTGAGATGATTGATTCTGTGATTCACTGCGAGGCCAAGAAGAACGCATGGTGGAGAGTACTGTGTCCAAGACGGAGAATCCATGGTTAACAGATGCAGGAAAAGCCAGTTGATTTGCACATGCTCAGTAGTCTTCCAAAGTCTCTATTTCTCCCATATTGAGCCGCTCTGATGAGGCATTCACTGAAAACCCTATAAAACAAAAACAATTTGTGTTAAAGATCTGGATGTGGTATATTGTATATGCTGCAACACATCTGTTTATGCAGCAGCTGTGCAAGTAAGACACAACAAAAAAACTAATAAGGAAATTAAGGCTAGATAGAATTACCCAAACACATTTTTCTATAAATCAAAGATGATCAATCATAGATTTAGATAGAAGCATCACTTGGTCTTTTAAAGACAGATCAGCGGAAATCTCGTTTCAATTTTAATTTAAAAGATGGCATCTGCAGCGCTAACATGGTATCCGGGCACAGTGGAGACATAGCTCAACAACGTCTTGGAAGGGAGCATGTTTGAGTCAACTGGTACTTGGAAGTGCCTACCACAGTACTTAAGGGGTCCAGGAAGCCAAAGCGGTTGCTTTGTGAACTCAGATTCCCAGCGTCGACCATGCTCAACACCTCTGGGGGCATGATTAACTCCAGCTGGAGCAGTTCTATCCCTAGTTTAAATCTAAACATATGTATTTAAGAAAATTAGTGGAAATTCCATGTATTTCCATGCTTTTTACGATCTCCTAACATTGCTCAGGGGTACAGCACGATAAGGTACAATGCTACATAGGGCTACCTAGAGGGCTGAAGATACATGTAAACTTCTACCCAACATTTTAACTGTATGTTGCAACCAGAAGTGATACATGTGCGAAATGAGCAAGAAAAACCCCAATATTATATCAAGTGCAACTTTTGCAAAGAAATTCTGCTTTTATTGTTGTACCAATCCCACATGAAACGTAAGAGGAAAGGTCTTTTTTGTCCAAAGTAGCTAAACAAAACTGACGCTTCATTGTCTTGACACTTGTTCTGTGCTAGAGAACAAACCGCTTTTCACAGCCATCATCTTGAACAGATGCAAAGTGCTCTCTTCAGTAGGTTTAAGAAAACTGTTCTGGCTCCCTCTGGCGGCACTATACTACCTAGAAATTTTTGGACTTACTTTGTAGTACAGAGTACTCATTTTTATGAAATTGCACACATCGGCTGCAACTTCATTTATAATTGTATCTCGTGATTTCTTATTAATGCCACATGAGCAGGTTTTAACTACTCAACTAAACACCCGGATCAGATCCGCTGGATTAGTGGCATAAGTCAGGATTTTGCTAAAAAGATCAATATACTTCAATTCAGAAACCATTAATTTAATTGAAAAGCATAGACTACGTTGAGAACAGAAGAGGCGGAAAAAAGTAGGGTTTTATTAGACAAAGATAGCCATAAAAAAGAAGTGATTTGCATGTGGTTAATACCAAGCTGCTTTATACAAGCACGAGCTAGGTAGCACCAGCACACCGAAGACCTGTCCAGCGTGGTGCCCTAGTTTTCTTTTTATCATATGTAGCACAAACGTGGATACATTTATTCTACAAGAACACTACAACAATGCATCACATATGAAAATGCTCATCACTCCTAAGTGCTTATACGATGCCCTTATATCTTAAAGGCCACTTTACAGACACCTTTCCATCAGCACTGCAGGGGAAGATTAACTATCGTCCTCATCTCATAAAAACTAAAGTGTGACTGGGCGGGGGGAGAGGGGAGGCTAACGGTGTCAGCATCTTCATTGCTTCCAGTTCAAGACTTGTGACCAGATGTTGTGCTCCCTCCCCCGCAAGAGCTTTAGCGCCTTTTCTAAGATGGTCAGTTCATGTAAAAAAGTAGGAAGGCATAAAGGGTAAGCTTTAAGAAGCTGTTCCTTAAGAAGAAAAAAAAAAGATGCGCTTTCCTTTTAAAAGAATCTCTCATAAATGTCAAAAATACTCGGCATGAATTCAATAAAATAGGCATAGGTCAACTGACATCCCGGCCCTACTTAAGTTTTCAGATAACAACCAAGGTATTAAACAGCTCTCTTCATGATCAAAATGGAAAATAAACAAATATCTCCTTTTAATTATTAACTATATCTATTAAAAAAAGCAGAAGATCACTGCAGATAGAGAGCTTTTTTTATGGGCAACACGTGAGATGTTTTATTATGCAAGAAGCCTTACTATGCAAGAAGCTTTCAGGTCATCCACCACCTTTACTTGCTTGACATCATAGAAAAATATACGTTACCACCGTTACACCACCATAAATGCTAAATATATCTGGGAACATCATTTGTTCCAACAGCACCATTAAAGACCCAGGGTAACTGAAGGGATAGCCATATGTCCAAGATCGGCACATTCCTCCATATCAGAGGACAAAAAATCCCAATACATAAAAACCTGGTCTTCTGGAAAAGTTGTTTCTCATCTCTTATGACAAGCAAGTAGTGTTAATGAATATATGTTTAAAAAAAGCAAATAAATATACTCAGCTTAAATCTTTTCCTCTACTACACGTGACATTTTTCCCCAGAAAACGTGTAAGATCATTCTGAACTTCTTCCTCAAAACTACAGCCTGAAGAATTAGAGAATCTACTATTCCCCCCCCGCCCCCACTGAGGGAGAAAAACATACTAGAAGCCTGTCTTGTTCTTGATATCAAGACCCAATAACTAATTATTAAAATTTTCTCTAGAACACCTTTGCTCTTTGCTGCCTGCACTTGGGCAAACAAACCATAAGGGGGGGACTCTAATCAGGGACTGGAATCACTGATTAGTATATTCTACATGGTACCATACTCTGGCCCAAACTAACCCCAGGAGCGTTAGACAAAGATGTTTTCCATGAATCTATTTCAGTAAAAAAAAAAAAAATCTTTTAATAATGCATCACAGACTCTAAAGAAGGTTCAACTTTCACCTTTTCTGCTTGAATTCAATAGTCACATTTAGATGAACAAGATTTCTACATTCCACAAGGCTTTCCCCCCACCCCTAAAAATATTAATTTTGGAAGAAAAAAAACAAACAAACAAACCAAAACTGACCTAGCAAGCTGGGATCTGCGCGAACCATCTTCTGTTTCTTCTTTTTCTTCCCACTCTGCACAGCCTCAAAATTGGATTGCTGGTTGTTGCTCTGATTGGTCTGAAAGACCGAATGTAGCGAACTGTGGTTCATCCCCCACACTGAATCCTAGAAAGGAAACAAGTACAAGATCACAACATGGAACTAAGTTTTGTTTATTTATCCTGAAAACATTCAGAGACCCCAATTCACTTTCTATATCGCATGTGCGGTAGCACTATCTCCCTAAAGCATCCTGGCCAGCACAAGTCCCTATTTGATCTGCAGCTGGCCTCAACTGTTATTTAGCTACAAAGGATGCATGATCCTACAGTAAATAATTGAAATGTGCTTTTGCCTCTGCATTTCACATCACCTCTAAAATCCTGCTCACCCCCTATCAAACTAGCAGAAATGCAGGCTCTTTAGACTCATAGATAGTATCTATTTACTTCTATGGACTGTAGCAAGTAAGATTTACCTGTTGCTGCTGTTGTTGCCGCTGCTGACTGGCTTTCTGTTTGGCACGGCGCTCAAGAAACTGCTTGGCAAACTCCTTGGCCTCAGGAGTATCTCCAAGATAGGCTCTGATGTAATCATGCACCTCATAGGGAGACTCTACTTCCTTTAGGAAGGACACAAACGTGGGAACTGCAAGAAGAAGATGGCCATGAGAAAACGTATGGGCAGATGCGTGAACGCATACACGCAAAAACCCACAAAGTTTGGATTTCTGTTTCAAATACTTGCCAACCTAGTAGCCACGGCAAGAAGCTTGTCCTTTTAAGCTCCCTGCAGCAAAGCCCTACAAAGCAACGTTTCATTTACTCTACAGGCAAAGCACGAATAAGAAAGCCAGCTAATGTGACGAGAAGGAAGATTAAACTGACAACCCTAAGGGAACATTAGCCCATTAGCTTTAGACACTGCCAGTTTGGAAGCTAATTTGAAATTAACGCCAGGCCCAAATGGAAAATACTCTCTTCAGTGCTATCATCAATACATTTTCTTTTTGGGCTGAAGCACAAGAAGGCGCAGTCCACAGTGGTTGACCTGACCTGCAAGCAACTGAAGTTCAACAGTGAGCACATTTGCAAGCCTCCTTTACCATCTTTTGTCTTTAGAATACTTTTGCTGCACTGGGTTATTTAACATGGAGAAAGGCAAAGCAAATCAGAAGCCAGGAAGACACCACGGCAACAGCTTGTCACCTGTGACACAACATACCCCTGAAAGCATGGAAGCTCACTGCAGACATACAACACCGGGCAGCACTACAGAGCACAGCCTCTCTTCCGACACCAGATGCAGCTAGTTAATATATCACAGATCAGGCCAACAAGGTACTTTGAGCATATATGGGTTACAGAGGAGAAGAGAAGCTAAGGCACTGCAATTGAGAGGCACACTCCCAGAGCAGTCCCACCGTCCCTTGGAGTAGTTCTGGTTCTCCAGTCAGGCTCCAGAGCCCCACAGAACCACAACTTTGCAACATGTGGATGCTGAAGCACAGGCATCTGCACAGGTCAGGACAGAAGGGAACAGGATGCCTGCAGTGCTTGGTTGTAAGAAAGTTTCAGTTTGTGATCTCACACTGGGGGTTCCTCTACATGCCCTCCAGCAGAGTATGCAAAAACCAACCAGTTTCCCTCTCTCCCTCCCTGCCCCCCCCTCAAAAAGCAGCTTTACAGAGGGACATACAATAATTTTGCCTGCACTTAAAGTCAACTGGATCCTCATTCGTCTGCCTGATACTGCTTCCCCTTTCTTCCAAGGGGAAGTTCTCAACAGGGCTCTAGGTGACAGATTTTAAAACTGGTTCCAATTCCAACTGATTTTTAATATTTAACCTATTGAAAAATCATGGAGAAGACGATATAGCAGTTCTTAGGACCACCATTTAGGAATTATGCCATTTTGCTGACTGCACTGAAAAATTACTTCAATTAGCATCATTACTTTTCCTCAGAATTATCAACTCAGTAGACAAACCTGATACTGTTTGTCAGGAAGCACCACAGCGAACATTCCTGCCCGCCTCTTACCATCTAAGTTATTGGCTGTGTTGAGTGCATGAAGCATCTGTTCACACCACTGAGTGAATCCATCCTGGGCTTTATTAACCCCCTGGAACAATTTCAACAGCTTCTCCTCTTCTTCCACCTTCTTGTTTTGTCTACTTGTAATACCTACAGATTTACTGAGATAAAGAAAAAGCAGATAATACTACAGTTACAAACTATCAGACTTACCAACAGCACAGCATACAGCACAGCGCTACAACACTCACTAGTTTACAAGAGGCAAACACTGTTTAAAAACCAACTCATTTTCCAAGCAGGTGCCAAAATAATTTGTGACTGATCACCTATTAGCTATTTTGGTTGTCAAAATAGATCCTGAGTGACACACAAAAAAAGGAAAATACACACAGATGCTATAATTGCTTAGTGATCATCTCAGGACCGGTAGCCTTTCTTTGCAAAAGCTCCTTCCCCAATTCCTACCTGAGGCTGGCATTGCTTTTGTTTTTATTGGTCGAGTTACGAGGTCCCACTTCCTTCACTGCATCATCCCAGAAACCCATGTTTGAGTTTTTGGTATCAGCATTACTCCAGATGCTACTGACTAGGTCAGATGCCCACTGGTTGCTGGGATTAGTGTTTAGGGAGCCCCACACTGAATTCCCAATGCTGGTGTGCAGGTTAGAGTGCTGTTGAAACATAACAAAGAGATCCTGGTTATTAGCACCAGACCTGGCGGAACAGTAATGAACAGACATGGAGAACTGTCATGTACTGTTTCCCTCCATACACGGATTAGACAAACACTGTTCGTACCGTAGTATTTCTGACTCTGTTCGGCTGCTGGTGCTGCTGTTGCTGCTGTTTCTGCATCTGCCTTGCCTCTTCCTGCTGTATCTCCAGCAGCGACTTAGTGGTGCCTGTTGGTTTGGTGACATTACCCCAGCCTGACAGTTTTTGCTGCTGTTGCTGCTGCTGTTGCTGGAGGGCTTTCATCAGTTCACGCTGCTGACGTCTTTGCTGTTGCACACAAGACAAAAACGCTTGGTCATACTTCCAGGAGATCATTAACATTCAAAATTCCAACAGGGAAATTGATTTTATACAGATTTCAGTTTCTTCTGCAGATGTCTGGCTGACTTAACATTATTTTTGTGCTATTATAGATCCTCCAAAAAAGAGGGCACTAAGTGTGACTACTGAAGGCAAACTGTTTATTAGCTTAAGATAGGTTTGCTTAATTGTTATGACTGTTGCTAGCCAGGCATTTGGGATTTTGGGGGAATACCTCCTCCCACCACAATTTTTTCTTTTAAATGGCCTGGTTTCATGCATATCTACAAAGCATATTACAGCATAGATGTGAAACCACTTAACATTGTTTCTTGAACATATTATACTCCTAGGATTAAAAGAAAAAAAGAGTAGCACCTGCCCTCCTTTCAGAATATTTGTATTAAGACACTATAAAAAACCTTCAAATAAATACCTACTGAATCTATGATTGAAGCAAAGGATTAACTTTTACCTGTGTTTTGCTATTTCAATAAAAACATTCTTCATCCTCATCATTCTCTTTCCTACCAATCACTTAATCAACAGTTAAGCAGCCATTCTGTCAAGTCCACTCTAATTAGCAAGTTACACTCCCTCAGCGTCAGTTTTGGTTTTTTTTTTTTCACCTTCTTCTCGAAGCCCTCTTCTAACTTCTGGATTTCTGCCAATGACAGTGTTGCCTGGGATTGACACGCTCCTGAATTTGATTGCTGACCCCATGTTGAAGACGAAGGGAGCTGGGCCAAAAAAGTCATCAATAAGAATTACAAAAACCTTTTAGGGAATACTACTAAAGTATAAACATGAAAAATTAGTATAAGCCACAGGGCACAAGAAAAAGGGGGACAAAAGGTCACCTTTAAACTTTGATAAAACATTGAAAAGTATAAAATAGTATAAACTATTAAAATGCACACTAAATTAAAAACAGTATGTTTCTTTAAATTGTCATCTGATGCATCAAGTGTCAAAGCAGCACTATATCAAGAATAAAGTAACACATCACTGGTCTGAAAAATAGCAATCAATTTTAATTTCAAAGACTTATGTTGTTATTATGTGCTTGCATGCTTTTCGTGGAATAAATACAAGGAAACCGTATAATGCTTTTTGGAAGAAATGACTCAAACACAGCATGGCATTTATCTCATACACACAGCTCAGTTGCCTTTTCCTGGAGAAAATAACCAGGACCCAAAGTTACATTTATCCTAATGAATCTACAGGATGGGGAACTGAAAAGCCTTTTTAGCAGGTGTGTTAGTCAAACACTAGACTGACAAGACAGAGATGGCCTCTCTGCATTCAGCAAACTAAGCTTTTCAGATCTATAGCAATGCTTAAGTCAGTACTTTTCAGTAAGCTTCTCTTGACTGAACCTGCTCCTTCTATTTGTTTTGCAATTTTTTTCTTCCTCTTGTTTCTCCTGTCACTCTGATAAACATAGTTTACTCTCTGCCTTCCTCCGATAGTTCATCTCTCCCTGCTCTGCTCAATCCTGAATCCTGTGGCCGTTTACTTAATACACTGAATTGAACAAGGGAGTTAAACTGTAGGCATGCATTACCTTCATTTGTGCAAGTTGCTGCTGTTGCTGCTGCTGTTGCAGTCGTCGTAAAGCCTCCTGCTGCTGCTGCCTCTGTCTCATTATTTCTTTCTGGCGCTGGAGTTCCAGCTCCTTGCGCTTTCGCTCTTCTTCTTCGAGCCGCTGCCTGGCTGCCTCTTCTTCCATGCGTAGCCGACTTTCCTCAAGTCGCCGTTGAGCTTCTTCCTCTTCACGTGCCCACTTGGCAGCCTCCTCTTCCTTCCCAGGACACAAAAGAAGAGTAAAGTCTCTAAGTTGACTTAGAAATCTTAAATTACTTTAAAAAGGCCCCGCTCTGTTCTGTCAGGTTCTCTAAATATTAGAATTGATCTGTGGCCTGGGCTATGTTGTTCATTTACCTTTATATTCCTCAGGGTGAAAGCCCCCAAAAGCTAGTCTAGATTCCCTCAAAATACAAGTTTCACATCGCTCCACCAAAGGACCGAAAAAGAGAGGCATCTCCCTAGTTCAGGCTGGCCAACTTCATACCACCTTCCTTCTGGAAATTGTCCACCTTTCCTTCCTTCCTGAGCTTCTTCTATATGCTTATCTTACTTACAGTCAAGCACCGCTGTACTTTCAATGCAACAGAACTTATATAGGAACAGAGGGATAAAAGCCTTAGATTAAATTTGATATGGCAAGGTGGGGGGGGGGGGGGGGGAAGAAAAAACTGACAAAAAGCAATGCTTACTGCTGAACACTAGAGCTGCAAAGGGAAAGATGCTTCTACTAACAAGGAGACAACTGTGTGGTGGGACCGAAATGGTAACGAATGTCTTATTAGGAAGGGTGCTGAAAAATGAAGTTCTTAAATAACTGGTAATTCTGAAACAGATCTAGAAATCAATGCAAAGCCAATTGTGTTTTAAGGTTAGTTTGATTTAGGACTGTGACAGAATCAATTAGGGAACTGGAAGCTCAGATCCTCCAGTGTGGACTCCAAAGCCAACCCCAAGGGAAAAACTGTTAAAAGTAAGGCAAGAAGGGGTGGGGGGAGGGGGAGAGAGAAAAAAAGCTGTGACTTTTGGAAGCAGGTATAGTCTTGGCAGAGTACAGACAGATCGGCACAACAGATCACCTCAGAGGAAAGTTTACGATAACACTTCTACACTAAAGACTGGGAGAATGCCAACTTGCAACATAAACTATCATTCTGGTACAGTATTGTAGGTATTCTGCCTTTCTTACACAAGAAGGATTAAAAATATGCTGCAAAGCCATTCTTAAGGCGCATATATGTGACGAAAATCCACACATTCTACAAATATCTCTTTTCCAAAGGCAAGATCAGATTTTGTTTTGTTTCAATCAGGACAGAGGTAAACAACCTATTTTATATTCACTTGATACTGTCTATGAGCTTTCAATTCCTCCACAAATACTGATGTTCTTCTTGGACACGTATGCAAGTTTCAAAGCTCATTCAGTTCTGGCTGCTCCCCTAATTAAACGTAATAGATCCCTTTTGCCAGTTTTCACCTGTTTACGAAGTAATTCCTCTCGCTGCCGCCTTTCCTCCTCTTCTCTTCTCCTCTCTTCCAACCTTCTAAGTGCTTCTTCCTGTTGTTGCCGCTCCTCTTCCTCCCGTTGCCGTCTTAGTGCAATTTCCTGCTCTCTCTGCCTCCTCAGGGCTTCTTCCTGAAGTTGGGAAGAAAACGTCAATCTATAAACTCATTTATGAACTGCATGAGAACACAGACTACAACATAGCCTGGCCATGTGAATGCCTCAATGAAAGCTTCTCCGCTCCAAGCGGAGCGCCAACCAAAAGATTAAACACCAAAGACCCACATGTTAAGAAGCTTTCTGATGCGATGTGCATTTCATACATAAGTGACTTGTTTTAATGAGAAGAAAAATATGAAATCATTGACTATCTTTGCTTTTATACAAAAAATGACTGCACAGAAAGAAAATAATTAAACAGTGAGATTCCTCTTTCCAGTATATAACAACTATATTTGAATGTATGCATTTTGATGTGCAGATGCCTCAATAATCCCTTTTTCAGGTGTCAACTAGAGGTGGAAACTTTTCCTGCACCAGGTGTTTCTATATACTGGCTATTCAAAGTGCACTACAAAACTCAAACCATGCCTCCAGATGCCAGAAAGAAGCTGAAGCAGCCCAGTGCGCTCAAGGATGCTGTTACCTTGGGAAGTCCCAGAGGGATGGAGCTCAGTGAAAGGGCTTTGATTGGGCTTTCCCTAAATTACTTAAATTAGGGCAGTGAAAAGTCCCCTAAGGGTTTTGATTTTTGGCTATCCCTAGATTTAAATATCTTCCAATAAATTGTGTTTTGTTTTCCAAGTACTGAAATTATTTACTTTCCCTCCCTCTCTTAACACATCGACCTTCCCAGAGAGAAACATCAGCACCCTTTCCTACTGCTCTGAAGAGCAATGCAAACAAATTTCCACTGCTTGTTCCTTGGAGGAATAGGGCACAACTAGCCTTCCGGCCTCCTCTATGGTGTCAAACAGGAGCAACATCTGCGCGTTTTTTCTCCCTGCTTCTGACTTCCCCTTACATAAATTAGTCATGCTTATTGCAGCCTTTTCCAGTTTCTGAAATTCAGCAACTGTATGAGGCCGCTCTGCTTTCCATCCCATCTATCCACTTTCTGACCTATCCCTCTGGCTCAGCTCAGACTTTCTACTTTTTGGACATGGACATTTTTAAAGCGTTCATACATGTATTTTCCTTTGGACAGTCAGTACCGTGCAATTTTACTGCTACAATTTTCCATGAGAAATATGCTACCCACAGGAATAGGGGAGGCTAGTTGTGCAGCACAGAGATATTAATTTTGAACTTTGTTAAAACGAGAGTTAATTCTAAAATCCAAGACTCTTATTCATATATACACAGCATAGATAAATCGCAATACAGTTCACTGAACAAGTGGACCAGGTTTCTCTCTGACAAAGGCTAACTTCGGTCGTCTATGATATAACTGTCCAGTAGAGAGAGAGAGAGAGAACATTCTTCTTAACCAGTCCTGTGGGATTGAAGAACTGCAGGCTGCAAGCCAAAAATATAATTCATACCCATGTGTATCACTCAAGTGGTTTGATGCTAAAGAACAACAAAAAGATTGTTCCGTTTTTTTCTCCCTCGATGAAGCGTAAGCATGATTATTGAGGTAGTCTTCCACAAATTGGACATAAAATAGTAGCCTGTGAATCATTTCCTCTTTATTCATTTAAGGTTTTGACTTCTCATATTCAGCTTCAAGCCCAACGCTCGATGCCTGGACCATTGTTGTAACCTGAGCCTTGTAACTGGATTAATTGGGCACACACAGTCAAGTCACAACAATCAAGTGTCCCCAGTGCAAGCGCTGAAAAATTTCTGCTTGTTGTTTCTTCTATCGAAGAGTTTACTGAGAGGACTGGAGGTGTGCAAGCCTGTGGTCGGTTTGACCAGAGACCACGCACACACACCAGGATCTCTGCTCGGGACACCCAGGCATGAGGCAGGCCAGGCAGCGGGGACGTTCAGCACTCGGCAGTGACAGAACGTGCGCTACTCGAGAGAGAAGAACAAAAAAGTCACTAAGTCCTCCTGCGTGACAGCGGTTCACTGACATCTCTGCCCTAATTTCCCTTTGGGAAATGAGACTGTTAAGTACCATTAATAAAGACGCAGAGATCTCCTCCTTTCCTCAGGTCTGCCAGAAGAGACACTGCTGAATGACAGGAATGTAAAAGGGGGTGGGAGGAAGACTCTTCTTTCCCCTAAAGATGAACAGAGTCTGATTTGTAACAAAATAGAAAAAAAAAAAAAGTCCTGCAACATAGCAAAAAGCTGGGAACCATGTGGTTGATGTAGTTCTTCCTCCCCCCGCCCCCACTCTTCTTCATAGCTATAGAAAAAGTTTCCTCAGTGTTCATTTCTACATCTTTTCATTGTTCAGTGGTTTTGTTTGAGCAGGTGGCCAAAAACCACCCCTAGCTCTCTCTCCTGCTTCCTGCTGCTGACTTTTACAGAAAATGGACAGGTTCATTCCTTTGGCTCTTACTGATTCGTGATTTCTGACTCCATGAGAACCTAATGTTCTTTAGCATCAACTACTTTTCTAATAATTGTTTTTCAAATACATACACACATCTTGCTGAATACACAAGATATTTCAGATATTTTAAAATATCTATAATATTGCACAAGATGCTTAAGTAGCATCTCCCATTTCAGGTTAACATCTTACTTCAGTAGGCTCTGGATGCTTAAACAAAATATTATAGAACTTTTTGCAGCTGGTAACAGCTGTAATTCTGCTTCCTTTTGTTATTAAAGCCTACCAATTTTTCAGTTTTTTGGATTTCACTTTTGGGTCAGATGCTTTAAGGGGGAGCATTACAGATACAATTGAGGAAAAACAATTATTAGCTACATGTTAAACCTCAGATTTTGTTAGAAAACAGAAAATAACATCATACCACAAGGAAGGAAAAGGAAAAACACCCACATATCCAGGAGCTACACAAACTGGGTATTACTGTTTGTAATTCTATGGTGCAAGTAATTGATGGAAACTATGAACAGAACTGGATTCAACATCATTTGGCATGAAATTTCATCCTATATGATTTAATTGATATTAGTTATTTTTTTAATTATTATTTTAAAAATTCACCATCAACAGTGTATTTACTAACCTTATATACTAGTCTTTTATGCAGTATTACATCAAAAGCCTTCCTGAAGTCCAGGCAGATTAAGTCTACTGCTTCACCCCTCTCAGCTCTCACTGTCACCTCCTCAAAAGAAGTTAATCAAATTTGTTAAGCATCATCTCCTCTGTAAAAGCCTGTGCTAATAAATCAGTTCATCACTGACTCTACAATGCCTTTCAGTACAGAGGTCAGATTCAAATATTAGACCAGTTCCCCTTCTTTTTGTAAGGAATTAAATAAAACATTAAGCCCTCCTCTGGAAAGAGAAACTAAACTCTTTGCTACTTTATAAAAGTTCTACTGCTCAAAATTAAGCGTTGTGGCAATTATTCCATTGGTAATGAATTCAGACATTTGCTGTTACTGCCTTCCAGTCCCATTCTCCTTCCTCCTTGTAAACATTTCTTTCCTATGACATCTCAGAGAGGGAGAGAATGAGACTGTTTTGTGGACAAATCCAAAGTGGACAAAAATTTCTGAATGTAATAGATGCTTCTAAGAAGTTACACACAAGGGCAAAACCATCAGTCTGAAAAGAAACTTAATCCAAGGTCTATTGGGAGCCAGAATGGATGAAACACACTGAGTTACCAGGTGGACAGCTGAAGAGTTACTTACTACTAGAACAGATCTAAAACAATTTATCTCACAGTTAAACTTCTGAGTATATTATTGCTTCAATGCTACAATAAAGCCTAACCTTGAGTACCAGAGGATACTTTTCCACTATATACCATAATGGCTTACCTTATATGAAGATGACATGTTAGAGTAAGGAGCCATTTATTTATAGACTCAGTTCTTAACGATACCATGAAAGCTAACTATATAGCACAGTACATTCTATTGAAACATATCTTCAGTGAGAAAACCCAAACATTGAGTGAATATATAAGGTCCATGACTAATAAAGATCTTGGAGGTTTCCTCAGAAATGTCTGGTTTAAGCCAGAAAACATTCCTTACAACTACCTACCCAAGCACATACAAAATAATATTATTTACTTATTTTTGCTATTATTATTATTTACTTCTTTTTGCTATTATACAAGCGATACTTTAGAGGGCATGTATCAACTAACTTCTTAATGAATACGCTCACAAATGTGTTTGCCCTTACCCTTCACGTGCAGGCCGGAGACCTCAACTTTCACCATTTTACTGCCCTATTATACTCAAGGAACAATTCATCTCATCTTCCACACAGAATTCAGAAATAAATGCCACAAACTTCCAGCTAATAATCTCTCCATTTCATATGCTTGTAAAGATTATGAACTTACTACAAATCCTATATTCTTCCTCGTACGGCAACCAAGAAGTCCTGTCACTGATTTTTTTTTTTTTTTTTTAAAAACAACCATGCTTGTCCAGCACTTCCAAACTACATCCCTTCTCAAATAACAGTCCAAAAATATAAGGCTTCTAGAGTCTATGACGTAACCCTGCTAATCTTTTTTCAAGCAAAAATGCCTTAAGTTAAAGATAAGCAAATAGCAAAAAAAAAAAAAAAAAAGGGTAGGTTTTACATCAGTTTAATTCTTTTCAGGATCGCCTCCTACATTTTCTGCATGTGAAACAGTTGCTCAATCTCCAGTCTACTCTGGAGCATCCCCTTATCAAAACAGTAGACTGCATAAATGGTGAGCAGAGATTTAACACACTAACTGGGCAGCTTACTAAAACCTAATATTACTACTAAGGAGTTGAGAGGGAATATTCCACATGGAATAAAACTCCTCAGCTCACCTATCAGAACCTATTTTGAAGTGAATCAAAAGCCCATTTCTCAAGATTGCAGTTTGGGCTCTTCAAACTTAAAAACAGGAACAGAAAAAAAATCATTTCATATACTCGCATGAAAAGTATTAAAACTGCCTTCATGCACACCTACCAGAGATTAATTAGACCCCACAGGATTCTTACAGTGGGTTTATAAAATGGCAGTAGAGATGAAGTGCACTGAGGAAACTCACTTGCTTCCTGCGGGCCAGTTCTTCCTCTTCCCGTCGTTTCCTCTCATCTTCCTGCTGCCTCCTAAGTAGCTCTTCTTGTTGCCTCCGAAGCTCCTCCTGCCTTTTCCTCTCTTCTTCCTCTCGTTTGGCCCTCATTTCCACTTCTCTCCTCTCTTGCTCTAGCTACAATTCATATAAAACTACACTCAGATGCAGGTAACATATTCCTACACCATTTCTTATGGCAGCTCCTGCTGAGATTATAGTAACAACATGACAGATGACGAAGCATCTAGAAGATGCTCGCTCTTAATTGCAATTCTACCTGTGAGTTGGTTGCCTGCTGGGGTCACATTCCTGCAATACTGTCTAGAACAACTCCTGACAATTTCTATTCTATAACAAATACCAGTTCTCTAGTCAGTCTTTCTATATCAGCTTCTTAAAGTGACTTCTGACTTCAGAAGCTAGCAGAGAGTTGCTGTGCAGTTGCCATAACCAGCTTCTGGTAATGCACAGAATAGTACAGGTTCAAACTTAGAAAAGAACTTGATACCAGACTAGCCATGAAACAACCCCAACAATTAGGACTCTCTACTATTCCCTAAACCAATTCTAGTGAAAAGAGGCAAGAATTAAGAGAAGTGTTGACAAACTGGCTCCTGCTCAGGGTTTGGCATGAGAACTTATGAGGATCGCATTTTAAAACAGAGGTGGCTAGTGAAGAGTTTTTAAATGAAATGCAAAAATATTACTATTACTGCAGAGGTCAATAGTCCCACCATAGCAATAGTTTCTAAACAGCAGTCCACAAGGATTTCGTAACTGGTTTCTATAACCATATTCTCTTTATGGCATTTTCAACAAAGACCTAATCAAAATTGTACAGTGACCTGAAGTTTAAAGAGCTAATAGCATTCCACTGGCTCAAGAAACATAGTTATGCTGCAGAACAGTGATTCCAGTTTCTTAGAATATAAAACAGTTTCTGACCTTTGCAGCCTTGGCCTTCTCGAGCTGCTGAAGTTGTTCTAGAGCTGGTCCCTGAGCTGCAGTATCAATGGGGAGATCCCAGACACTGCTTCCTTCCCAAACTAGACAGCAAAGAAAAACATTGACAAACAACAGTAAGCAAACAACCAAAAACCAATTCAAAGAATCATGGATGCTGACTGTCACTATATTCTGTGAACTAAAATTATGATAATACATAATTTTTAGTCAGTAGAGGGCCACCTTCTCTTCCTGTAGAAGAAGGCTTACCCACCACTGGATCAAGGCTGCTTCCTACAAAATTCTACACAAGAACCAGCTATCCCACTTCCTTCCATCAGGCCAAAACACCATTACAAGGTAACACTCAATCCCTCTGATCAGGATTTCTGATGACCATGCAAGAAATTACCACATTCTTCACAGCTCTCAAAGGAAACTCAAATTACAGCACAAAGTAGTCCCAATCAGTTAATATTGGTACAGAAATAATTTCACGGAACGTCAAAGAGTAATCATGTTTGTGTCTTACCTGTAGGTTGTGAGGCTGACTGAAGTTCCCAAATTGAGCCAGTGTCCGGCACTGACACAGACCTTGTTACAGGCGGCATCATGTTCTGTTCAGATATTCTGTAATACCAATAGGAAGAGTCAACGTGCCATGTCCAGGGAGAGGAGTGCTCTGAACACGCATTGACATTTAATAACTTGTAACATATTCCTCTCCTTCCACGCCTCTAAGACAAAAATATGATGCAGACAATACTAGTTCCAAAAAAATCCTGCTGTCAAGCCAAAGGCTAAGTCTGCTACTGATGCAGTTCTGCATTTGCTGCTCACAGGCAGCCTTGAGCAACGAGTATTCAGTACTGCCAGAACTCAAGCCAGCAAAGGCATTCTGTTACCAGCAGAGTAGATTTGTCAAAAAGGTATGTTTTCAGCTATAAGAGTTTCCTCCTCATTTTCAAGCATGTTCTCTGAAGTATGAGCTATACAAAATGAAAGCCTCAATATCCCACAGCTGTTTTACATTCATGTAATTTAAAAAAAAAAAAAAAACCTGTTACACTAATATAATGAACTAACTGGAATGAGATAGACCACAGAAAAGATCACAAGTATCATTACATACAAATCAGTATAGGACGAACGGCAATCAGCTCAAGTTGGCTACTCACCTTATCTTCAGGGCCTGGAACTGTTGCAAGAGAATAGCCAGCTGCTGCTGCTGCTGGGATGAGAGGGCTGCTTTTTGCTGCTGAGCCAGCACCTGTGCATACTGTTGTCTTCAAAAGAGAAGCAGAGAATCACTGGTATTTGTTCACTTGCTTATCTACACGCAGAACTTCTGCAACTTGGGGGTTATAGACTCGCTCTTCATGACTAACGCCCACTGATCCATATAACGTACACCCTAATTACTAGAGGAAACCATGGAATAGGGGCTTGGAAAGAACCAAAATACAAGAAATTCAAAAACTGGCCCACACAGACAAAGCGTATTCTCTCCCTCAACTGTATCAACTCATTGCTGTCCAATTTCTCTCTAAGCTGTGCAACACCACTTCCCTTTTTCGATAAGTTACATACAGATCGCTCATAAGTTGATTCAGTTTTGATGACTATCCAACTACACAAATCAATCTCCTCCCTCCTGTATCAAGGCATCTCCTACTACACTAGTAGGCTCTTGCATTATCAAATCATAAGCTGATAATCAGTATTTAAAAATCATAATCACAGCACATGTTTTCAGTACTGCTCCAAGTAGTTTACCTGACTGCTTTCTTTTCTCTGATCTCCTAAAAAACAAGTTGCAGACCTGACCTGCAACTGACTACTCTGGCAAAAATGGATGATAAACCGCTTTGTCCAGCGGTTACCCACCACAGACCTTCATAAGGTGAGCACGCAGACCAAGATAAGTTTATAGACCTCTCCACCTCCAATTCAAAAGATGCACAGCCTTCCCCGACTCCAAAACAGGAGAACTGCATTACAAGGATAGCTGGGACTCAGTTTGACCATAAAGGCTACCTATACAGCAAATCTCACCAGAGTAGCTATGCATGACACAGAATAACTCTGAAAAGTGTGCCTGAGGTAGCCATTCTCTGTCCTAATCCTGTCGGCTATCGGGGCCTCTGGCAGCTGTGGAAGCAGGCTATTGCCGTTGGAGGTGCAGCACTCCCAGCCCCATTTCCCAAGGAAACAATGACAAGAAGCTGAACCCGGATGATTAAAAATGAGGAGCAGAACACAGCCACTGGAAGGTCTCTGGGACTGGCAGTCTTACTGTATCAAAAGATGCTGATACTGGAGGTGCTGCATTTGGATCAGGGCCAACTCTTGTTGTCTAGTCAGCCGCTCTTGGTCCAGCTCGCCCTATGTTTAGGAAAAAAACATTTTTCCTACTTTAATAGCATGAACAGAAGTTTATTGCACGAACAGAAGTTTATTGCAAATGGCTCATAAGCCATGTAAAAATTACTTTCTGCACTGAAAAGACGAAGAAAATAGAGAAATACTTAGACAATGTTCAACACTTGCAAACAAAGTTTGAGTACCTAAAGATGTAATTAAAATATACAGGATTTGTTCATATAAGACAACAGGACCAAATATTACGTTAACAAAATAAACGCATTCTTAAATTAGAATAGTGTCTTTTCTCCCCTTAAATTCATATAAAGTTCGAGTATATATATTCTTAATATAAAGTTCATATATATATACACATATATACACACACACACACACACACATTCTGGTGCTTGGAGCAAAGTTTATATATATTTTGTTATATATAGACTTTGGTGCTTGGAGCACCTACATTTCCAAGATAGAGCATTTGACATGTAAATAATTCATTTTCCATATTTTAAAGGACTATTTGAATAGTGAAACTGCCACATAATTACCAGATGTGGAAGTGGTGCTGGACCTGGAGTGAAGGGAACTCTGCCCCACATTTTCATGATGTCTCCCAGCGGCTGGAAAGTCTCATCGCATGCTCTCTTAACCAACAGTGACATAGTGAAATAGCCAGCCTGGAACCACTCTGCCATCTCCTGATTACTGAAAGGACCTGAAACAACATCAACCAATACACATGGGGGGAACGAAAAGGGAGGCCAAGATGAGCGTACTGAAAACAAAGAGCATGGTTCTTGTTAAACACACGCAGTACCTAGTATCAGCGGTTTCTGCCCTTCTCATCCACTTGTGCGAACAGAAAAACATTTTACAGTCAAGGCTGGAGTGCCAACACACAAGTCTGGACCATTATACTGTCTACAGCATTCCTCCATATGGTCTTTATTGAGAAGTACATGACTGCTTATACTTTGCATTGGATGGTGATGAGTCAGCTCCGGGATGAAAGCTCAGGAGCCACCGTGGTGTGGAACTCAATCCAGCTAATAAATATCCTGCCTTCCTCCGAGCTCTGCAGGATCCACTAGCCAACAGTGCTAAAAGCATGAGTACTACTTCCCCACACAAACTGCACAGACAGTTAAAACAGTCTCAGACAGTTTCAATGTGAGCAATTTTGAAGGTGAGAAAGAGAGTCCTGCCTTCAAGAGTCATCTGTTATAGAAATTTTGCTTCTGGAATTTAAGAAGTGAGCAGAGCCCCCTCTGGTTGCAAGATTACATTTTTGAAGATAATTAGGAGAGGCAGTTTCTCCTTTCTCTCCCCCTAAATTACACTTCTCCCCTCCCCTTCCCAGAGAAACATTTCACTCACTTCCTTCAAAGGAGACAGTCTCCCATACTAATTCTACATACCCAAATGCAGATAAAGCCAGGATAGAAAAAAAGGTTATTTTACAGTGTAAGAATCAGATAGATATAAGCTCAGCAAAAATAACATTTTTGCTTTTCTGAAGACAGTAAGTAATTCTTGCCTTCTCCATAAGAAGCATCTTTAGAAGATACTTCCTCCAAGAGGATATGAATCCACAAGTGGTAGCCCAAGAGAAAATTATGTGGAAGCATTTACTTCTCGGGGTCCCATTCAAGGAACTACTTGTTCAAATGAGAAACTGGTAGACCATCACTGAGTAAAAGCATCCAGTGGTGACTACTGCATAGTTTATAGAGTTTGTTTTTGCTCAGAACGCTTCATGTTTAACATACTTCAGGGTTTTCTGTTCACCCCTAAAAGTTTAAGGGTGTGTAATACCTGCAGGCAAGAGACCAACACAGATCCCACAAATAACACCCCCCAAAAACCAAATTTCTGTGCAAAAATCTGAGATTTCTTAAGCGAAAACTGCAAACATGAAACAGTTGGCATTATACAAACCCGTAATACACTGCTTGCAAGCATACCTGAGAAAACGCGTGAGCCCTGGGCTTGTGAAAACTTATTCTCTCTTTTATCAAAAAAAGAAATTCTCCTTTCCTGGGTACTCCATGTCTGGGATGAGACTGGAAAAACGTTTTCACTGTTTCTCACCGATTTTTTTCGGCAAGTTACTCTGACACGCTTTTGTTTTGTTTCTCTTACTATTCAGCAATCTGAGTAGCTACTGACATGAAACCTAGCTTTAGTCTGACCTCAAATCAGAGAAACATGGAGTGATGGCAAACCCCAGGCATAGTAAGGTAGTAAACTCTGGATATCAAGTGTGCTGACGGGGGCAGTGATGGATGGCAGAACGCATTTTCAAAACCTAATTTTCTAGAGTGACAAGTTTCTTGTGCTGCTTTTGTAAAAGCAAGCTTCCATATCTGTTGGTGCTAAGTTTGTGACGAATTCTTTAACAGTTCTGTGAAACAAAAGAGGAAGTGTAAAGGGCACAGACCTACCCTGAATTTCTCCTTGTGGATCTTTGTAGTACCACTTCTGCATTGCTTCATGGAACAACGGCATAGAGGAACCCTTTGCTCTGTGCTCTTGGATTTTTGCTGCTAGTCTTTCATCATCAAGGGCACTGTCCTGCAGATATGCCACCATTTTCTCTGCTTGCTGCAGGAGACATCAAAAAGAGCAAAAAATATAGGAGTGAGTTGTGTGCTTACAGATTCCAAAATAAGCATGCCAAGTATAACAGGCTTGAACTAGCCAGAGATGCCAGATATCCAGTGATACCAGAGCATACCAGAGATTACAGGCAACTCGAGGACTGGTGTAATTACAAGAGAAACCCTGAGCTCTACCATCTTGTCAGAACCATGAATAAGCACGGTTCACATGCTTTACAAGTAAAGCTTTAAAACAACTTGCCTAGGTGGTCCCATGCAGTACCACCACTGCGAGGAATAACACAAGTATGGAAGTACTAGCACAAAAAAAGCTCTACATCCAGCAGTTGCCAAGCTTTCATGAATAAAGTCTACGCTTCATTTATGTGCACATATTTTTTTGCATCCGTCCTACACTTTATGATTTCTCTGGGAAAATTGTAAGGCTACTTGACAGTGGCCACAAGCACTAAGATCTGCAGGTCGTTAACAGAGGACACAGTACCTTTATTATGGTAAATGCCACATAAGCTTTAATTATTCTCCACAAAAAAAATGGGGGGGGGGGGGGGCCTTTTTAATCTTTAATTATACTCAAAAAAAGTGGGGGGGGGGGGGGGAGAAAAGTAGTTTCAGTATACTTTGTGGCTTATAAAATCTAAGCTATATTTCTGCTTTTACAGGCTCTAAGAGTTTTGCATTCCACATTCCTCCACTCTCAAAATTGTTTATTACAAAGGAATTTGAAAAATTTTACCTGTTCTAGGTGTTTGAGGCCTTCTTCATCATCTGGATCAGTGGGAATATTGCCCATGCCTGGAGCAGCTGTGACAGGTGTCTGAACTGGCCGTAGAGCAGGATTTGAATTGGAAACAGGAGGAGGAAGATGAGCAGGAGAAGCTGTATCTGCAGAAATCTGTGGCAGAGGTTGAGCAACAGAAGCCAAATCTAAAGAAAAAGCTAAAAATTAGTCCATTATCTTTGCAAAAGTCACTTTCAACTGTGTTAAAGTTCCTTGCAGAAAACAACATCCAGCAACTCAAAATTAGCATCAAAGCAAAAAACTTCTCAGATCTAAGTATGACTGTGCGCTTGTACAGTTTATAGCACTGACACCCAACTTAACTTCAAGGAACAAGCAGTTCAGTCCTAACAGTGCAAAACTGCATAGACTAGCATATCCTGTTCCTTGCCACATACATTTGCCCAGACTAATCTGCACTGCCACAGTGAGGCACATCTGCAACTAGCTCATGTTTCTCTAGATTATGTTGCAAAATGAAGTACAGGCACATCCCAAGCATGCGAGATGGCATTTCCAATAAATCTTATTTGTATTTATAGAGCAGTTGGTGACCTTAGTTTTCATTGCCATAGTTCAGTCCTCATCTCTTAAAAGAGACCAAGTCTAATCACAATGAAGTAGGGAAACTTACTAAATTTCTATCAAGTGTATTACCTTCCCCTCTGTTTGACATTTTGGCTGACGGTGTAGTCTCTGCTCGAGTCTCTTTATCTTCTGTTTTTTCTGTTCTTTCTGGGACAGACTCTTCTTTCCTTTCAAAAAGGCTAGTCTGCAGCGGGTCCTGAGGCTGGGATTTCGGTGGGGTATCTGACCTGGCAGCTGGTGAAGACGTTCGGACTGCTTCTTCTGCTGTTTCTGCAATATCGAATGGTTCTACTTAACTGAATTAAAAGAAATCCTATATTGTAGCATACAACTGATGCATTAGAAGTCCCCCTTACCAGCCACTACTCTCTCTGTTTTCTCCCCCTCTTTCTTGGTCATCTTTTCATGATCTTTGGCTTCTTCATTGTGGCTCCCTTCAGAGTCAGACCTTTCTTCCCCTTCCTCCACAGGCCGGAAGTCCATTTCCTGCTCCTCAGGGATTGGCTCCTTCTGCACCTTCTACAAAGTCAACATAATCGTTCATAATCTACCTGACATAAGAGGACGTTTGCTCAAAGCCAACACAAGACCCAACATAGCTTCTCACCTTTAAAGAGAGAAAGGCTCCAGAGGAGTCAAATGTTCCCATTTCTTCTTCTGCATCTTCTAAGCACCACTCAGGGAGGCTGTCCCTGTCGTCGTCCAAACTGCCACTGCCACACCGTACTCGTCGATAACCTCGTTCATCATCTCGTTCCCGGAAATCAAATTCAAACCTCCGCCGTCGCTCCACGTGCTCTCGCCAGCCTGCAGAACGAGGGCCGTCTAAGGTGGGGGGAAAGTAACTTTACAAGACAGTCCCAATGGGTAGTAGCTTACTTGGAAGGGGGAAGGGGTAGGGAGAAGGTGACAGACAGTGACAGAAATTCAGAAAGCCACTACAGGGTACAATCCACCTATGAACAGGCATCTTAAAGGAGGGGTGGCGGGTGGAGGGGAGAAAAGGAGTACTTCACTAATAATTAGGAGATCTTCAAATGTTGCCGCCCACTATATATATGCCCACATCATAAATCATAGTATGAGCGTTAAAAACAAGTAAGGCTAGGAAACATGAGCTGCATAGTCTGAAATATGCCACAACATCAAAATAAGACCAACAAAACTAGATGCTGATTGAATTGAGCAATGTCCCTCTACCAGTCATCACTGACTTTTATATAAGAGATGCCAAAAAAAACCTTTTGTATTTTCTTTTAGGCAACCATTTGCCGAAGCTGCATCCTGACCAACCACCACCCACGCTTTTTCCCCTCCTGCCCCAAGAGGCATTTTTGCATATACGCATGAAAAACAACTCTTCAAGTCTCTTGAACAGTAATTTAAAACTTTGAATGCTAATCCATAAGAGAAGGGGAAAACAATTTCCAAATCTAACTGCAACTTTTACTCTGCTTCTACTTTTAATATATTCAGAAGACATCTTCATTGAGCCTAGCTTAACAAAATCTTTTGCAGTATTACTAACTCTCTATTGAAACTGAAAAGAGCTTGCAGCTAGGCGAAAAAAACTGGGAGTGAATGTATTTTAAACAGCTTTCAAAGCTCTCCATCCAGTGGAAGCTAACTTTATCAGAAATGTGCAGAGTAAAAAAAAAAAAAAAAAAAAAACAGCTAAGCTTTTGGTGCTTTTAATGTTGGCCGTTTACTCATCAGGAGTAAAAATCCCTCCACCCCTTCCCCCCCCAATCACAAAATTTGCAGCAATCAGTGGAAATCAACATTTAGTTGCACTATTTATTAAGTGGCAACCAAAAATCACAGCAAAGAGGAGAAACACTGTCCTCTGTTCCATTTACTTCATATGGACGAGGGGCATCAACCCCCTGGAGTATTAGTGTTTACCATGCAAAAATCTGTTTCACGAATACAGGAAATGTAATATGACAGTCCTCTAGAAACACTGTGAAGTTTAAGATGACATTTTATCAAGGAAACAAAAGGTCAAATTTCAATAAGGCCTTCACTGTATCGCATGTGCTTGCTCAGTGAATATTTCAGATGTATAGCTTAATCTATCTTTTAGCAAGGCCTCGAGAACAAACAAAACATTTTGGTATGCAAAACAGCCAAATCAACGTCCCGATGCCACCTTTTCAGTGTTATTAAGGAAAGAAATAAGGCACAGTAGGTTTGCACTGATCACATCTTTTCAGTCTACTTTAAAATAGTCCTTAACAGTTCTTAGGCCTCGTATGCCGACCTCCTGTTCACCGTAACATTTCAGAAACACGTAGGCAAAGATGAAGTCTCACTGAAGATGCACTGCTGGATTACATACTTCAGAGAGCTCTAGTAACAACTACTTCCTACGTTCTCTTTGGAAGAGCAGCACTGCCTGACGCTCCTCTGCCCACAACTCCTGGCCTCCACCTTAGCGCACATGCAAAAAGCACAGGTTGCTCAGGGCCGTGTTTTTGAGTCATGCGTATGAACGTACACAATTAAAATGCTGGTTCATTGTCAAAGAACGAAAGCACCTCTGGGAACAACCAACAACTAAGTAGGACAACACAGCGTATCTGAAAGGACAAGTCTGACATTCAAATTGCACTGATAACGATACTGGAAGCAATATTAAGTTTACTTTTTTACTCCCATCAGAAGTGCCGGGACTTCCTTGGAATTGGAATGCTTTTTCCAAGGTCTGAAGAGGAGAGGTTTCTGACATGCAGAATGGATTTCTGATTAAAACCACCAGCAGGCACCTCCTCGGTACAGCCAGCAGCATCTAGATGAGGCTTCCCAATACACAACAGAGTGATGGCCTGAACTTAGCTACTCTATATCCTAGTTGCTTAAAACATCTGACCATTTGCTATCCTGTGGCTCAAGAACAACTGAGCATCTCTTCATCTCTCTTATGTACTGAAGAGGGAAAATTTGACATATTAAGAACTTTTTGTGCAGCTCCAAAAGGGCTACCTTGAGACTATGCCTCGATTACTTTTACATGGTTCACATCCCTGTTCCAGGGGCACAAGCTGCTCATAGCAGGACCCAGAAACATGGTTTTTGAAGGTGAACTCTGCGTATTTTGTTAATTCCAGGTATTTTCAAGTTCAAATTAAAAATTTAAGAGGTTCCATTTACCATACAGTTTGCTTGCAAAGATTTAGTCATATAGTATCTCATTTCATAGCTTGCACATTTTCAGAGATGGAGGAGGTCTAAAAATAAGAGATAAGTGGGCCCTTGCACACTACCTGCTTCCTAACAACAAAAGCTTACAAAAGCATAGTTAGAACATAGAGCATCTTGACAACTCAGGTAAGTACAAGGCTGCCAGTCACTAAAACACCCAAAGTTAAGATGCATCTTAAATTCTTGTATTAAACTATAAAATAAAATAGTTAGGACACAAACAGCTTTAAATTCAGCCCTGCAGTATCATTAGGCAACAATTATCTGAGCAAAATTCCAAGTTGGGAAAAGTAGTTTTAAGCAGCATCTACCCACTCCAATTTATGGTGACACTGTAGGTGAAAGACAAGACTACTGGCCCATGACAAAAACAAAAACAAGTACACCTTACTCTCAATTTTTAATAGCTATTTATCGCTTAACAGCTACCCTATGGAATTTATGAAAGATGTTTCCAATGTAAATACTAGGCAAAACACAAAGGAACAGCACATATTTAACTTATTGGCATACGTTGTATACAAACTTGATCTTTATTGTGCTCAACTCTAGAGCAAGATCCTCCAGAATGCATTAGCTGCTTTATGATATTCAAGAAGCACAAAGCACAGTGGCCATAAAAATAAGTCTACTTGATTTACAGCAGTTGATTCTGAAAATAAGACAAACCCAGATGAGTTTGAGAAGGCTTTCAAATAAGCAGAAGCCAAAACACAGGTTCATGTGAAGTTACAAACTCAAGCCTCACTAAAATGCCTTTCAGGAAAAGTATCTTTCAATGGAGCTGCTCAAGGGGAGCTGCTCAAAATTTTATCAGAAAGAAACTTTAGGCAAGAAGAGAATTCATATTCCTTAATGATGACTTAGTAACAAAAGAAAGTCAAAACATCTATAGATCATTCACTAGCTTTGCAACCAAAAATGTTTTTATCATTACCTGAAAAAATAGACTTCTCTGTAGATTTAAAGAGTAATCTCTGTATGAGTCCAAGAGTTTGAACCACAGAAAGTAGGCATCTTAGGCAGGCAGCCATTAAATCACCAAAAAAGGATGAAGAGATCAAGAGAACTCTGAAGCAGCCCATGAATTTCAAACTATAGTCACATTCCTCTCACAGCTAGTTACCCCAGCCTACTTTACACAGGCTTTACAACACAAGTGCTACAACACTTACCTAGGACAACGAGCAAAACACTGCATAAGCCAAGAAAGGAAGGTGTCTTCTGTCAACGCCCAAACCAAAAAGCTCCACAACCCAAATTGACTAGAAAAGCCTGCTGATACAATCCAGACAGTTTTCATACTCATTAGCCTGAGGCTGACATTTGGAGGAGGGAAAAAAAACCCAGCACACCACCAACCGCAAGTTCACATCCTTCTGGACTAAAAAGAAGGAGGAAAAAAAAGTTTTCGGCATATCTATTTTATGGCTGAAAGCGCTACAGAGGCTGGAACTCCAGCATCAGCAAAACCCACTTAACCTCTCCATGAAGCTTTGAATGGCTGAGAATAGAAGCTTTTTGTAGAAGTTTAGCAGAACACAAGACAAACGTACGCAAACTGAAAGTCAACACTGACCAAGACGACCCTCAGAACATACTGGCCAAGAGGTCTGAGATGAGTTTCCCCTGGCATCAAAAGAGAAAATCGATGGATTTCGTTCTTTGCTTGACTGTCAATATTAAGAAGATTCCTCACTTTATTTTAGGCATAGCCGTGTGAGGGAAGAACAGTTTAAACACAGCATAGAGACACGATAATTCTCTTCATGCATATCAAGGGAGTTAACTTTAGATTCAATAAAACAGGATCACAGAGAATCTGGAAACCATGCTTACGGGCACAAGGTTTTAATAAAAGCAGCCTTAGCTCATCTTCTCAATCCTTTGTGCCTACCAAAGAACCACAGAAGATGAGCAGATGCATGTCAGTCATCCCTCAATAAACAGTTATAGGATGCGAAATAGAGAAATTCAAAAGACGGAAAAAATAACAGTCTGTGGAAATCTAAAATATTCTTTGCTTACCAAAAGAACACGATAAACTCAAGTCTGACAACTGCTACGCTTCTCCAGACTGTTCTCACCCCAAAGAAGAAAGCAGGCAACTTGCAATCTAGTAGGGCGCGTGCAGAGCCAAGTCAAAGGAAGGCCCAGCTACACAAACGAGGACAGTACTTTAACTGTGAAGATGTTTGTCTGTTCTTAGCAGGACATATGATTAGCATTATTACCTAATAGCAGAAAAAATACAAAGTCGTAGTTTAAGTGATGTCAGTTTGAGCTAAACTCATTGTTTAAATCAAGAATATAATTAAAGCTGTTTTCATGGTCCTGTGGCTACTACTAATAGGAAAATTCATAACTCTGACCTGAGTTGAGAAACCAGTGATACAGCTGTGAACTCATTCCACTTCCACCTCAAATTTAGCAGCTTCTACACAGATTCTCAGAACAGGCTTTTATACCTATTAAACTAACTGAAATAAGTTAGTCTACTACAACAAAAATTGAAATAAACACTAATATTTTCTATGATAGAATAGAATGAATTGGAAACCTCTCCTAGAACATCTCCCAGAAGAGTTCAAGACATACATGAACTTCTGAACTTCGAGATCTCTATGCTTCCTTTTATGCTACCGTATGCAGGCTTGTACTTGCAAAGCACTCCACTCAAGTAACATGCTACATCTGATCATCATGAGGTACTGTTTCAGCTGGCTTGATAGATTCTGAATCACATGACAAAGCAGCAGCATCTAATGAACAATCCTGACCAAACATCAGGGGAAAGAAAATGATACTCTTCAAAATTTGCCCCTTAGCCCTGCTCTAAATAGAAAACATCTGATAATAAATCCAGCCTTAGGACTCACTGCTAACCTTCAGTACAAGCTAACAGCTGTTTGAGGGCAAAGAGTAATAAAGTGACTGTGACCATCAACAGACTGTCACTGTCAACTACTATCAGACATAATAGTTGCTCCCATTATAGTACTAGAAGGTCTTTGGGATGTTGAAACTGGTGATCACCCCACTGTAAGGTATTTTTGGCTTGTTGTTTTGTTTTAATTAAAGAAAAGCAGTGTCTACCTCAGCCACAGAAATGCCCTGTACTTCCTTTGCTTCCCTACAAAGGTATAGTAGTAGAAAAACCATAATATTCCCTGGGTTCCCCAGAAGCCTAGTGTAGCCAAAAGACACCCAAAAAGCAAGCTCCCTGGCTAGCAGGATCTTTTTAAAGTAGTAGCAAAAAAGTGTTTCAGTTACACTACTAAAACACCCAGCTCTGCTTTGGATTTCTACTGCAACTTTGGCAAAACACCACTGGTAAGCAAGTGAACCAGGCTGACTTTGTTGGGCCAGGGAA